ACCCAGTTTTTCTTTTCACTTTTTTTTTTTTTTTTTTTGAGTAGGAAAAATTTATTGAGAGAAAGATAGCTTCTGCCTGAGAGAGACACAAGAGGGACCAGAAAGTGGGATACACCTTACACCTGGTCATGTCACTTTAAAAACATTTCTAAAGAAGTAATCAATGGTATCTGAAAAGAATGATTTTCAAGAATGTTTGGGAGGTTGGAGATATAGCTTAGAGGTACAGCACTACAAAAAAATTTTTTCCTCTTAATAAAAAAATACTAAATTCAAAAGTACTGTTTAAAATTGTACAAAATGGCCAGGCCTGATGGCACACGCCTGTAATTCCAAGTCTTGAGCCCAACATGGCACTCAGTGAGACCCTAGGTCAAAATTTAAAAAGGATGGAGTACGCAGCTCACTGAAAGCTCTGGGTTCAATGCCTGGTACTGGGCAGGGTGCGGGGGTGGGAACAACTGAAAGCCACCAACAGTCAGACCCAGGTTAAATGGATTATGGCAAATCTATGTAAGAGAACTAAAATGAAGAGGGGCATTAAAAATGATGCAGTGCTGGGTGTGGGGCTCAACCTTGAGTTCAATCACTAGTACAAAAACAAAAACTCCCAGAAGAACACGTTCACAGGATAGTAAAATGACAGTAAAAATCTTGACATAAATATAATCCTCATTTTGTATAAAGAAAATTTTTTTTTTCATAAACAAAATCTTTTGTTTTTTGACAGGGCTAGAGATTGAAACCAGGGCCTTCCCCAGTGTTTATTTATTTGGTAACAGGGACCTATCTGGATCTTGCACTTGCAAGGCAGGCTGTGGAACCACTGAGCTAAACCCCCAGCCCCCTTGCTAAGTTCCCCAGGCGAGGCTCAAACCTGCGATCCTCCCAAGTAGCTGTGATTATGCATGCGCTATTACACCCAGTTACACATTACTTTTATTTCAGAAATTATGAAAACCAAAGTGAACCTCAAAAAGGGAAACCCTGATAGGATTCCAGATACGAGAATGTGGCTAACATGGACGCTGAGACAGACTAGATCTAAGAGGGAGGATGGCTGGGGACGTAGCTCATCCCCAGTAGTAGCACACTTGCCTAGCATGTGCAAGGTCCTGAGCTCAATCCCTAGCAAAACACACACACACACACACACACACACACACACACACACGCTCACAATATGTCTTGCAATGTCTAATAAACTGGTACTTACCATTCGGATGAAACATTTTGGATAAAAACCTAACTGTTGGTGGTTTATTTGGATATTCCTCAGAAAATTCTATTACTAGTTTGAACGTACCTAGATAGAAAACAAACCAAAATAATTACTCCCAAAATAAACACACCTTTTTCATTTCGTCTTCAGTTTTCAATCCCATACTGGTCTCGAAACCACCACACAAAACTCTGATCGTGAGAGCCGGTTTAGCATAGAGACACACTGATACACGTGTTTATGTGTGATGCTAATGGGCAGCATTGGCAAGCGCTTGTGGCAGAAGAGCTGACTGTCCTATTTTTGGAAAGCAACCAGGCTGTGGCGACCAAGATTTAAAACACACATGAAGAACTGCAAAGAGTTTATCATAGCTTAAAATGGGGATGCCACAGGCTTTAGAGAGGCCGACTACCACGTGGCAAAAACTCAGATCAGACATGAGTGCTAATGCATTCCAGTCAGTCCGGTTCCCACACCAATCTCTTCACTCCGATATACAAAGAATTAGTAATCTTTAGTGTAAATGCCTATGACTGGTTATAGGCCAATACATCACATATTTTGGTGAGTCTAAATCACTACTGGTCAAGAGACACAGGAATTTCAAAAATTATGAAACAAAGCCAATCTGTTCAGTATATACAAAGTATATACTTTTTTTGGGGGGTACTGGGGATCCAACTGCGATCCTTGTGCTTGCGAGGCAGGCAGCAGAACCACTGAGCTAAATCTCCAGCCCACAAAGTATATACTTTTAATTCTACTTTGGATTCTATTTCCAAGAAAAAGCCACTACTACACCACATGGCTTTGAGTTTGTCTTTCTAGACTTTTGTGCTTATTATCCAAACCATCACCTTTCCGACAACTGAGAAGTCCCCCAACTACAACCCCTCAGATGTACACTGTAAGACAGAACTTCTAATGCAATAAACAATACTTTAAACCATTTCAGATGCTTCTACGAGGTTCTTTCCTCATTTCACGAAAACACTCAGGCTGGAGATGTAGCTGGTGGAACATATGCCCACTTCATAGACTGTGGGTTCACTCCTCAGCACCTCAAGACAAACAAATCCTTTTCTCAGTCTAAATTCTAAGCTTCTGGATTTAATCTACTCGGAGGCTCAATTTGGTAAAAGTATTTTGCACTGTATCTTCACTGGTCAAGTATTTGGAATACAACCTCTTTACTTTTTTTTTTTAGTTTGGAAATTTGCAATTAGGGAGTCCAAAGATACCTGCAAACTGAAGGTAATCTCTATTTCATAGCTGCATACACGTCAGTAAGTACAGGTACTCCAGACAGTTAATTAAGGAAGTAAACCTTATGCCTGATCTTTCTTAGTTATTTGTGATACTGGGGATCAACCAAGGTCCTCGTGCTAAACACAGTTGGCCAGTGAGCAACATTCCCAGCTTTTATTTTTCAAGTTTACATTTTAACCTTTTTAACTACAACAGAACAATAGTGATGAAATGTGAAATTTCAAGCAAACACAAATACGAAACAGCTATCATTAAGCATTCTGGTCTCGAGGTCCCTTCACGTGGTCACAAGTCCCACCACGACCAAGAGTGCATTCACTCTTGTGTGCCATTTTGTGTTTATCACCACAGACAGAGACAAGTGTAACTTCCAGAAGCTGGGCATGGTGCCACACCTGTAATCCCAGTGCCACAGAAAGCAGAGGCAAGAGGATCGCCAGTCTGAGCCTAGCCCAGACAATTTAGCAGACTCTCACAATAAAAAGGGGCTGGAGATGTACTTCAGTGTCAAGGCCCAGGTTCAATCTCCATCACCACCAAAATCAAGAAACAAAAAGCTTCAAGAGTGTTACAAACACAATAAAGTACAATAAAATAATTAGAATGTGATGAGGTTTTAGGATATCACTTTTTGATTCCTAAAAACCTTTTTTATTTTTATTTTTTGTTATTATTATTTTTTTGGTACCGGGGATTGAACTTGGGTCCTTGCGCTTGCAAGGCAGGCCACCGAACCGCTGAGCTAAATCCCCGGCCCTCTAAAAACCTTTTTTATGGATATCATTTCACCTTAAAGTTATGGCTTTCCACATAAAAAAATCTTTTTAAAAATGAAGTAACGGCTCTTCAATAATGGCTTGCAAAAATTTCTTAAATTTAAACACCTAGCTCTTGAGTACAGGCTACCTCCAGCAAACTGCTGATTATACTTATTAATACTTGCTGAGTTAGAGATTATAACTCAGAAAATTTTAAAATATTACTTCAGTAACATTTAATGAAAAATTAGTGACAAATATAGCATCATTTTACATTTTTACAATTCTTTTTCTTGACTGGTTTAACGGAAGACAGCTGGATTCCCTGATCTGTTTCTGCACTCAATCTGTTACAATATGTTCAGCTGAAGTACAGTAAATGGGCCCTTGTACAAATAAGTAATTGAAAACAAAAGAGTACCGTATAGCTGTTTCAGATTAAGTGTAGACAGTGTCTTCTGTTACCACACAATCTTTAAAGGTTTCTTGTAATGTAGAACATGAAACCTTATCAACAAGCTTTTTGTACCGAGGTACAAGTAAAATGTTTGTATAAAACGTCCTTATTCTTTTGTCTTGTGGTGCTGGAGACTGAAGACATACGTGTCCTTGAGCATGCCGTGTACACACTACACTACCACTGAGGCACACCTGCAAAGATCGTGATTCTGTAGTGCCTCTATCATTTGAGAAATACTAGTTCATTCAAGTTATACAGATCTTCCAAATTATGCACTACCAAAACAAAACAAAACAAAACAAAAAAACAATAGGTAATACCACCGATGAACATCATCAGAAAATTTTCTCATCAGCGACAAATGTCATTTCCTTTCCTTAAGCTAACCACACATCTGCCCAATATTCAAACCTGTTACAGTTACGCCTGTTAAGTCATTCTTAGGAGGCAAAGGGGATCACACCAGGGGCCTCCCGAATGGGGAGCCAGGGCACCCAGGGCACTGAGCCACACCCCCGTCACTCTCTCAGTTAAGAAGCATTCCTCCAAAAGCTCAGCAGCTGAAGTTACAGCTCAGGGCCAGGATAACTTTTCTGCCAGAAGAGTGACATTATGGGATGCAAAGAAAGTGCCTTAACTTTTTTTTGGCGGGGGGGCTTTGAGACAGGGTCTCACTACGTAGTTGAGACTGACCCGGAACTCACTATGTAGCCCATGTTGGTCTCGAACTCACAGCAATCCTCCTGCCTCAGCCTCCCTAGTGCTGGGATTACAGGTGTGTGCCACAACACCCAGCCTAGTACCTTAACTCTTAATTCCCACCTTATCACACAGAATGATTAGATGGATATACAACATACAGAAAGGTCAGAATTTGGTAACAATTTCAACAAGGCGTTTAAAAGTAAAAACCAGCACCTTTTAAAATGGAAAGAGTACAATGACTATTAGAACAGTTTGGTGCCAATGTAGTGATTTGTTCTAAGACGCTAAACTGCTTGGTGCACTCTGAAATACTACTGCTACTGTACCAACAAGGCAAATGTCAACGCAAGCCTTGGTATAAAGACAATTTAGATCACACAGGACCCACGGAAAGGGACTCAGAGCCGAAGGGACCCATGATACACTGGTAGTGAAAAAAGCTGAAACCCTAAGCATCTCCTTCAATACCTGACCCCACCTAGAAATAAGCACAGCTAACAGTGTGGAATGTAATCCTTTAACAGACACATGCACAGATGTCTGTTTAGTAAAAACAGGATGCTACAATATTCATCGTTGTGCAACTTTTTTGGTCTATTCAGGCCTCTGTCCAGGTTTGCCTCATTCTCTTCACAGGTATATAACATGTCAGAGTCCAGCCACATCATTATTTCCCCAGCAGGCATCCAGTCATCTCATTACAAACAGTTCTACTGTCAGGATCCTATACAAGCACCCCTGATGGACTAATTCTGAAGTCACACTGCTAATTACAGCAGAACTGTTTTTAATTTTTTTCAATCCATGGTATAATTAGGGAAAATCACTTGGCTGAAATTAATCCAACAAACTCAATTATAAAGGTATACCAGAAGTACTTTTTATTGGCTTCTGGTGACAAATACCCAACTTGAAATATAAAAAGTTATGCCAAAAAAAAAAGGGCTGGGGATTTAGCTCAGTGGTTCTGCGCAAGGACCTGAGTTTGATCCCCAGTACCAAAAAATAAAAATTAAAAAAAAAAAAAAAAAAAAAAGGTTATGCAGAATGCTTATGGATATTAATTATAGTATGTAAAGCCACTGGCAGGTATGTATTTTGTTGCTGTAGTTCAGCCTGCCTTGAACTCACTATATAGCTCTGGCTGGCCTCAAACTCATGGCGATCCTCCTGCCTCAGCCTTCTGAGTGCTAGAATTACAGACGTGAGGCACCACATCTGGCCCAGCTATGTATATTTAAGAAAAATTTCAGCTCAACACCCCAACGATAGACACAAAATAAAAAAGCATTATTTACTCTCTTGCCATTTACCTCAGGGACATCTTTATCGTGCTAAACAAAAGTCACTTGCACGTAAACCATTCTCAACACACATTCGCATACCTAACCTTAGAGTTCTATAGGCAAATATGAAAGTACACATGGCCAGGGATTTAACTCAGGGGCACAGCGCCTGCCAGGGAAGCCAAGCATGAGGTCCTGAGTTTGATCCCTGGTACTGGGGAAAAAAACAATCAAAGTACACGTAAAAGAAGGACTAACAAGTGATCATGTGAAGAACTGTAAGTTCTCAGTAGCTTTACTTAATTTTAACTTGGCTTATTAGTATTATTAGCTTACTAACAGAAACGAGTTCAAGTAGATATGCTGGTTTTACAATCTCCTGCTTAAAAGCACCCTTTTAATACTACAGAAAACAGAGTGAAGAAATGACTTACCATCTTCAAATGGTGTCCCTTCTGGTCTGAAAACAAGAAGATTTCTGATTAAAAGAAGTTTTTTATGTTGCTTTTTCTTGATCTTCAAGAATGACAATGATAGACTCCAACAGAGAAAAAAGAAAGAGACCCATTCTGATGATTTGTAGAATTTTAAAGATATTATACCTTTAATACCATCTTAGCCTTGGGTTTTCACAGAGGGAAACATAAAGAGTAACTTTCATTTCTGTGTTTTCTTTTTAGGGGAACTGAACAAAACCAAACAATTTGTCCCTGATTTTACTACAGAAAGGACACAGTACTCTGGGTGTGCTGGCACAAGCCTATAATCCCAGCCGTGGGAGGCTGAAAGGGTCTGTGAGTTTGAAATCAGCTTGTGCTACATGGAAAGTTAAAGGCCAGGCTGAATGACACAGAGATCTGGCTTAAGAACTAAAGAAAAAAAAACAAACAAACACTTCTGTTCATAAACAGTGACCATTTTGTAAGTATGTCCCCCCCCCCCTTTTGAGGTAATGGGAATCAAACCCAGGGCCTTATACATTCTACGTTAAGTGCTTTAACACTGAGGTACATTCCAAGCCCAGCCTTTTAAAAAAATTTTAAAATTCTGAGACAATCTCATTAAATTACCCAGGTTGCCCAGGGAATAAACCCAGGGCCTTTGCACTGAGGAATATCGTCAGTCCTTCCTTTTTCACTTTGACACAGGGGCTCAGAAAGTCACTAAGTTATCTAGCCTAGCCTCAAACTTGTAACTGTCCTACCTCAGCCTCCCAGAGTACTAGGGTTACAGATTTGTCACCACACCCAGTAGTTAAGCATATTCTTCTTTTTTCTTTTGATACCAAGGATTGAATTCGGGTCCTTGCATTTGCCAGGCAGGTAGCGGAAGCACTGGGCTAAATCCCTGGCCCAGTTAAGCGTATTCTTGTTTGTTTGGTTTTTGGGTTTTTTTTTTTTTTTGTGGTACCAGGGATCGAACTTGGGTCCTTGTGCTTGCGAGGCAGGCCACCAAACCGCTGAGCTAAATCCCTGGCCCCAGTTAAGCGTATTCTTAAGAGAAAAAGTAATCTTTGTTTTATAACAGTAAGATGGAAATTAATACCCTTCACGATAATTTTGGACACCAAAATGTCCTGCTTTATGGCTGGGTGTGGCAGTGCACACCCGTAATCCAGCATGCAGGAGGCTGAGGCAGGAAGTTCACAAGGGTGTGTACAGTGTGCTTTAGCCAGCCTTACCTACACAGAGAGACCTGTGTCGAAAAAACAAAAACAAAGAAAACCAAACAAAGTGTGTTGCTTTGAGCAATGGCTCTCATTTGGCTATACCTAGCTTGCGTCACCAAGAAAATCAAATTCTTATGCTCAGATCTTTCTGTTACCTCCATATCCCAATTTAATCTTTCTTAAGCAGCAGCATGAATTTCACTTGCAAGGTATATCCAAGACCTCAAAACAACATTGTAACAGCCTGAATGGAATGCAATAGAACCATTTTACTCTAGAAAGCCGAACTTCATTTTTGAGCAGTTTTTTATTTGGTTTTTGGTTTTTTGAGACAAAGTCTTGCTTTGCAGTTGCAGGTAGTCTCATAATTATAATCCTTTTGCCTCAGTGCCCGAATTCTAGGCATATGACAATTTAAAACGTTTTTATGACAGTTTTTTAAAACATTTTCATACAAAGCTCTAATTCTAAGAGTAAAAAAGAATGAAATCCAAGAAAAAAGAAAAGACAAAAACTTTAAATCAAAAAGCACCCATGTGGGCTAGGGATCTAGTTCAACAGCAGTGTGCTTGCTAAGTATGAGCTATGCTCTGGGCTCACACCCCAGCACCATGTAGTGATACAAAAAAACTACAAAAATGCAAGACTGCTTCTCAAACCATTACACGCAGTTATTTCACACTGGGCGGTGAAACATTTTCCTTCAGTCTTGGTTGGGTAGAAGCTGTAACTCTGCTTCGCAGCTTTTTACAGCTCTTACAGAATGAATGTCACATGGTGCATTTTCTACAAGACAACTTTATTTTCTCTATTATTCCACTCCATTTAGTTTCAAGCATTATCTTTATCAGTCACCCAAAGTTATTATAAAACCACCTATACTAAGTACAGTGATGTGAGACTTGTAGTCCCTTCATTTCAGGAGGCTGAGGCAGGAGGACCTCTTGAGCTCAAGGGATCAATGCCAGCCTGGGCAACACAGCAAGACGTGCATCTCAACAAAACACCTGTGTGGTGGCATGATGTTATACGCCCAGCGAAGGGGTGAGGATCACCTGAGCAACAAGTTCTAGACCACCCTTGGTGACACCAGCAAGACCCCATTTCAGAACAAAACAAAACCATACGTGATAACCTCACAGAGCAAATAAATTGTATATAACTGCCCAAATTCTTTTTCTTCATTTTTTAGACAGAGTCTTGCTATATAGTTCAGGCTGGCCTTGACTTGTGGCAATCCTCCTGCCTCAGCCTCCAAAGTGCTGGGATTACACCCATGTGCCACCACGCCCAGCCCCCAAATTCTTATTAAAATGTATATTTTGGGCTAAGGATGTAGCTCAGCAGTAAAGCACTTGCCCTGCATGCGTGAGCACCCTCCTTGATCCCTAGCATCTCAAAAGAAAAAGAGTAGTTTTTCTTTCTAATTTATATTGAGTTCTAATTTATATTAGTCCTTAAAGATCTGCAATTCCACTTCAGTCTCCTGCTAGCTAGTTGTTACACATTTACCTTCCTTATCGCCTGTCTTTTGCCGGTACTGGGCACTGAAGCAAGGGCCTTTGCACCGAGCTAAATCCCTAGCCCTTTTTAAATTTTGAGGCAGGGTCTGGTTCAAGATGGGTTTGGACAGGGCAGAGGATTTAGCTCAGCGATTCTGCTGCCTGCCTCGCAGGCACAAGGACCGGAGTTCGAACCCTGGTAGCCCCCCCAAAAAGATGGGCTTGGACTTGCGAGCCTCCTGCCTCAGCCTCCAGGAAGGCACCACTACACCTAAGCATATTCACTTTTCTTAAAGAATTACCACACACCTATGACACAGTACATCAACTCACCCAAATATAACTGCATTCCACTGCATGATGTTGTTTTCAGATGGTGCACCACTGACACCCACCGGTGGGTCCTCTTGCAATCTAGAAATCCAGAGTGGTGATTTTCAAAGCTGGAACACTAAGGTTACTAAGGAGGCTAAACACAACACCTATGAACTCTGAACCCTAAGTCCATTTCCTTATTATATGAGCTGGCATGAACCACATGATTTGAATATACCCACCAGGCACATATACGTATTAAATACCTGTAAGTCCAAAGGGCTTGGGGATCATCTCTCAAGACTAAGACATAATCTGTTCAAGTACTGATATATGCAGACTGCCTTCTTGAACCAAAAAAAGTTTAAAACGCTAACAGCGAAAGATATTTTTAAAGCATCATTAATCTTCTTGCTCTAAACATGCAAAGACTGGGGGTATTAGCCACAGCTATTTGTGCAGTGTGTTGCGAAGAGAGACAGAAAGCAAGCCAGAGTACACACCAAACGACTAAAAGCACCTTCAATTAGGAAAATAGTTTTTGGAGGAAGTTTTACTCTATCCTCCTTGCTTCAGACACCAATGGCTTTTTCTTTTTCTTTTTGAGACAGGGTCTGGCTGTGTAGTTCAGGCTGACTTGGGCTCAGCAATCCTCCTGCCTCAACCTCCCAAATACCGGGATTACAGGTATGCACAACCACACCCAGTTAATCAGAAGCTTCAGTTGGATTTTCCAGCAGTTTCTATTTTACAGGCTCTGCACTAATGCCAAATCCACCTCTTGGACCAGGAGGAGAGTCAATCCATGGCTTTTTTCTAACAATCATCACAGGCAAATTCTTATAACCTGAAAACCCTTGGAAAACTACCAAAGGTGTCTTGTGTTTCACTTAGAATTAAGCAGAGAATTGCAATAATGAACAATGAGGAATAATGGACATAAACTGGAAAACATCTGAATTTCAGTCAGGGAACTAATCAAATGGTCTTCAAGAGTTAGAAAAGAAAGGCTTTTGCACCAAAGAGAACATCTTTTAATGGCTGTCACCTAAACTTAAACAGTACTTTTTGGCCAAACTCAAGCAGATTAGGGGCTATGAACTGAAGCCTTGGAGCCACTGTTCGACAGCTACCTTGAAGCGGCTAAAAAGAGGCTACAAATCAATTAAACGGTAAACTGGCCAAGGCCCAAAACAATGGCCTCCGAATGCTTCACTTTCGGCCTTCTAATGGCGAAGGTGAGAGGTTATATACTTCCTGAGCGGCAAATCTAAGTTTTTGTATTACTTATTTGTCTCACCCTGGGTAGGTCTCCTCAGGGAAAAAAAAGAAAAGAAAAGAAAAAGCTTAAGAAAAACGTAAGAAGCACCGTTACGCTAAATTTCTCAGTACTGCTGCTTCTGTATCTGAGAGTATTCGACAAAAGGTGAACTGAAAGAAAAGTCATTTCCTCCTCACAACCCCCACAATGCCTAACAAAACCCTGTTTTACAAAAGGAGTCCCGGAGAGTATCGGATTAGCGCCCGCCCGAGGAAAGGCCTTTTTCCAGAACGCGGAGGCTATAGATAGGGCTTTATTCAGCAGCCAGGGGCGGCCAGTTCCAGGAGCGCTGGCAGCCTGGACGGACGGCCGGGCCCAGGTCTCGGGCCAGCGCTCAAGGTCCTTCGGGGCGGGCAGGGTCGGGTTTCGGGGTGGCTCAACCACCTCCGGGCTCGTGCAGACCCCGCCCTCACCGCCGG